GATATAATTCATATCTTAGTATTAATCATGTAACAAGTTAAACTTTTACTTTATTAATAAAGATCATGAGTAATACCTCACTTCAACATAAAAAAAAATAAAAAAAAGTCTAGAAAGAAAAATCTTTAAAAAGAAAAAAAAACTTAACTTTAGTAGAAAAAAAGAAAAAAAAAGAAAAAAAGAGTATAAAGTATATAAAAAAGCATATAAAAAGAAATGAAAAAGGATAAAAGAGGAAAAGTAAAAAGATATAAAAGAAAAAGATAAAGAAAAAGAGAAAGGTAAAGGTAAAAAAAGTAAACAACTTAAAAATTTCTAAAAAGAAAAATTTCAAGTATAGAAAAAAAAGTAGAAAAGTTATTTTTTAAAAAAATTTTTTTTAAATATAAAATTAATTTTATTAAGTAAATTTGTTTTTTTATATTTTTTATTAATATATATTTAAAATTTTTTTTATTTATCAATTATTTATTAAATTTTTTTAATTAACAATATATTATTTATTTAATAATTTTATTATAATATGATTTTTAAAAAATGAAAAATCTTTTAAGTTAAATTTTTTTACTTGTGAAAATATAAAAATCAAATAAAAATATATTATTTAACCAAGTATATTAATTAATAGGTAATTTATAAGTATTTTATATTTTATTTTAAAATATTTTATTCAGTACCTATGCACTGAACTTATAATAATAAAACTACTAATCTTTTACAGGGTATAGTTTCATTGTTATTGCTTATAACTGGAAAGTTTTTAAAGAATTTAATAAATATCATCTATCACCAGTTTTATCCAATATATAATTATTTATTTGGTAGATTATATCTATAAAGGTAACTCTTTTTAAATATCATTATTTATTCTTTTTCTTTTTAATAGAAAAAACCATTTTATTATTATTTAAATTTATAATTAGATAATATATTTACATTATGCTTTTGTATCGCAAGAACCGATTGTGGCACTATGAATTAATTCAATAATTATGTAATAAAATGAAATATGCAGAAATTTTATTCAATTTATAGTTAAAACATCGATAGCTATTATCAATTCGAGCTTCGAAAATAAATTTTATTTCCAGTGTATACAATAAATATTAAAACAATATGCAACATAATACAAGAAAATTATTTTGGGAACACCAAAATAGCTTGTAAAATAATAATGGTACAAATATTATATATTTCCTTCCATCCAGTATATATATATATATCTTTTTTGCTTTCAGAAATAATTACCTTCACCTAGATTCGATGCATATATTAATCAAAATTATACAAAAAAATGAGCATAATCTTATTAAAAATCAAGGTGGACATATTTTAATTGCACGCACCATTGAATCGACCAGCATTTGTATCATTTTCTGAAAACTTGACTTCACGGGCATGTCTCTTGGATTCGTTGTTGGTGCCACAATTTTCAGGTTCCTTTTTCAGAGAATCACTATTGTGATAAGAAGCATCATTTTGACCACGACCTATTTGTGTGTTATCCAAAGATGACTTCCTAGAATTAATACTATTAATAGGACTACTCGGAATACTGTTGGATCTTTCTGGCGTGCTAAAATTTTTTGTATAATTACTTGACTTTTCTGAATGAACTATACTAAGCGGATTTCCCTTATTGATAATATCATATACAACTTTGCTGTTACTATGTTTAACTTGTGGTACATCTTGATTCTTCGCTCCGGTATGCCTGTTATCAGACTGGTTTCTCCTATCATCAGATTGAATTCTCCTATCATCAGATTGGTTTCTGCTATCATCGGACTGATACCTCTTATTTTCGAATTGATGTACATTGTCATGAGTCTGATACCTTCCATCGTTAGATTGATACCTTCCATCATCAGGTTGATACCTTCCATCGTTAGATTGATACCTTCCATCGTTAGATTGATACCTTCCATCGTTAGATTGATACCTTCCATCGTCATATTGATACCCTCCATCGTTAGATTGATACCTTCCATCATCAGGTTGATAACCTCTATCATCAGATTTTACAACCTTAACTTCATTAAATGGTGAACTTATGGCCCTGGTGACTTTACTAAACATTGCTGTTGTAGTTTTCATAAAACCTTTCTTTTCTTTCTCTTTAACCGCCAAAACTCTTGCAGCGTAAAGGACTTTACGATGTTTTTCATTTTTCAAATTAATACCAATCAAAGGAAAGTAACAAAGATCCACTGACCACTGGTCTATTTGATCATCCCAAAATCCATGCATTATAGTTGGATCAATTCTTTCACCTTTTTGGATCCACTCAAATTCAGCTTCAGGCTCTTGCACCTTACATCTAAAGTAAAAGATCTTAATAACTTCACGAATGATATTAGGTGCCAATTCATCATATTCTTTCTTCTTCTCCTCATTTTTAAAAGTCCGATATTTATTAATTTGCTGATCCAAGATTTTTGCTATAGTTGTAATAAAAGGATGTTCGACTATTCCATTTTTTGATTGAATATCAGAGAAACCTCGATCTCCAAGTAGTGCGAAGACCTGTTGACGTATTTTTGTTGGTGTGACATGGGAGACCTCGTCTTTTCCGACTCTGGAACCCGTAAAATCTGCTGTACTCTTTATCAATTCTAATGATTTTCTAAAAATATCAAATTCTCGCAAGGGTTCAATGTCAATATTGATAGCTCCATCAATGTCAATATTGATGGGTCCATTAAGATATTCATTCATCTTGTCCATTATGGTTTTAAGTACTACCCGTTGAAGAAGGGCTTTTATCAACATCTTGTTATCCTCTATTTCGTCATTACTTGTTGGGAATTCCAGGGAACACCCAAATTCTAATAAACTGCGTCTTGCCATCTCCATATTTAGTTCCACCCCCTTTTTTACTCTGGCATAGGTGTTAATATTATTTTGTAACTCATCAATATCTTGCGTAAGCCGAGTACTATTATTACGATCATCATCACCCAAACGATAATTCCTGGCATCACCCAATTTAGATTGATACTCTGCTGCTTCTTTTTGCAATTTCTCATTAACGTTTTTGATATTGTCTAATTCCCTAAATAGACCGTCGTTTGTTCTTTTATATTGCTCATTTTGCTTCCAGAGATTCGTACAATCGTTCTTATATTTATTAGACGAATTATAATAATGCATATATTTATCATTCAAGCTCTGAATCTCTTCATTGTGTTGCATGATCAAATTATCAATATAATAATTTGATTGTTTCTCTAAATCTTGCAACTTAGTCTTCAAATTCCGATTCTCGATCTCATAATCCCGCACCTTATTTTTTAAATCAGGCGCATCCCTAGATTGATTTGATTGGTCTTTCTGGATATCTTCAAGTATTTGGTATTGTTCGTTAATTTTATTATACTCTTTTGCTTGCTTTTCGCGTTGTTGTGGCGTCATTTGATCTATTTGATGTCCCTGAATATCTTCGAGTATTTCTTTTTGTTGTTGTTCAAATCTTTCCAGCTCGACTGTTTGATGTTGTTCAGCTAATTTTTGTTGAGCTAATTGTTGTTCAGCTAATTGCTGTTGAGCTAATTGTTGTTCAGATAATTGCTGTTGAGCTAATTGTTGTTCTTGTTCAGCTAATTGCTGTTGAGCTAATTGTTGTTCTTGTTCAGCTAATT